ACTAAACAAATGATTGGGTTGCTCATTTTTGGACCAGCCTAACTGATCTAGTCTGATTTTTAATGCCATAAAGTTAAATGTTACTACCTTCGCTTCTTAATATAAAAGCTAGTTAACTAATTTGAGTAGATTAAGAAAACTAGTTTAGGTTAATTATTTTTAATAAATAGGTGTTGTCTTTCCTAAAATATCCTTAATAATCAAGTGTATTGGATAGAACTACTATTATTATAAGAACTGCTTTAGGAAAAAATGAATAAATATAAGACATCAAGTAACTTAGGATCTTAAATTTAGAATAAAAATTAAAGTTAAACGAACACCTATACTGGGAACAAGAGGTAGTACTAGGTTTTAAAGTTTTTTAAGAGTTATTTGCAAATGGGTTAAAGTTGAGGGACTATTTAGGGAAAAAGACAAACAAATGCTAATTGAATTTCAGAATGACCAGAATGTCCGTCTAATTTGCAAAATGCCATTTTGGTCTCAAGAGACCAAATTGGCATTATTATATCAAATGAAAAGACCAAATCGCTCTTCCTTTTAAATATTGTTTTTAAAGTATCACTGCTTCTACTGGCTAGCCGATCACCAGAACTCTGGCAGCGGCAGTCACCGGAGCTTCGACGACCGGCCGACAACTGGTCACCAGAGCTCCGTCAGTTCGGAAATTTTTTTTTTGAAAATTCTTACAACTTCAGCATAACGGTTAACAACTTTTGTAATGCTATTAACAACTTCAGTATAGCAATTAACAACAGGTTTTCTGGAAAATTCAACAAGCTCCGGTGACAGGAAACAACTGTTTTGAAAATTTTTACAACTTCAGCATAACGGTTAACAACCTTTGTAATGCTATTAACAATTTCAATATAGTAATTAACAACAAGTTTTTTGGAAAATTCAACAAGCTCTCGTGACCGAAAATAATTTTTTTGAAAATTTTTACAACCTCAATATAACCATTAACAACTTTTATAATATTATTAACAATTTTAGTATAGCAATTAATAACAGGTTTTATGGAAAATTCAACAAGCTCCAGTAACCGGAAACAACTGTTTTGAAAATTTTTACAACTTCAGTATAATGGTTAACAACTGTTGTAACTCTATTAACAACTCCAGTATAGCGGTTAACAACAGGTTTTTGAGTTTGTTAATGGCATTACTGAAGTTATAAAAATGCCACTTTTTGAAGTTTTCGAAAAACTTGTTATTAACTGCTATATCGAAGTTTTTAACCATTATACTGAAGTTTTAAAATTTTTCAAAAAAAACGTAATTGTTAACGTTATACTGAAGTTGAAAATTTTTACAACTTCAGTATAATGGTTAACAACTTTTATAATGCTATTAACAACTTTATTATAGCAATTAATAACAAGTTTTTTGAAAAATTCAACATGCTTTGGTGACCAGAAACAATTTTTTTGAAAATTACTACAACTTCAGTATAATGGTTAACAACTTTTGTAACTCTATTAACAACTTCAGTATAGCGGTTAACAACAAGTTTTTAAGTTTGTTAATGGCATTACTGAAGTTATAAAAATGCCACTTTTTGAATTTTTCAAAAAACTTGTTGTTAACTGCTATATTAAAGTTGTTAACCGTTATACTGAAATTGTAAAAATTTTTAAAAAAACGTAATTGTTAACGTTATATTGAAGTTGAAAATTTTTACAACTTCAGTATAACGGTTAACAACTTTTATAATGTTATTAGCAGCTTCATTATAGCAATTAACAACAGGTTTTCTGAAAAATTCAACATGTTCCGGTGACCGGAAACAATTTTTTTGAAAATTATTACAACTTCAGTATAATGGTTAACAACTTTGTAACTCTATTAACAATTTCAGTATAGCGGTTAACAACAGGTTTTTGAGTTTGTTAATGGCATTACTGAAGTTATAAAAATGCCACTTTTTGAATTTATCAAAAAACTTGTTGTTAACTGCTATATCGAAGTTGTTAACCGTTATACTGAAGTTGTAAAAATTTTCAGAAAAACGTAATTGTTAACGTTATACTGAAGTTGAAAATTTTTACAACTTCAGTATAACAGTTAACAATTTTTATAATGCTATTAACAACTTCAATATAGCAATTAACAACAAGTTTTCTGAAAAATTCAACAAGCTCCGGTGACCGGAAACAATTTTTTTGAAAATTTTTACAACTTCAGTATAACGGTTAACAACTTTTGTAACTCTATTAACAACTTCAGTATAGCAATTAACAACAGGTTTTTGAGTTTGTTAAAGGCATTGCTGAAGTTATAAAAATGCCACTTTTTGAATTTTTTTGAAAAACCTGTTGTTAACCGCTATACTGAAGTTGTTAATAGAGTTACAAAAGTTGTTAACCGTTACACTGAAGTTGTAAAAATTTTCAAAAAAATTATTTCCGGTCATTGGAGCTTGTTGAATTTTCCAGAAAAGATATTGTTAATTGCTATATTGAAGTTGTTAATAGCATTATAAAAGTTGTTAACTGTTATATTGAAGTTGTAAAAATTTTCAAAAAAATTATTTCCAGTCATCGGAGCTTGTTGAATTTCCCAAAAAACCTGTTGTTAATTACTATACTGAAGTTGTTAGTAGCATTACAAAAGTCGTTAACCGTTATACTGAAGTTGTAAAAATTTTCAAAAAAATTTTCTGACCGATGAAGTTCCGGTAACCAATTGTCCGCTGATCGCCGGAGTTCCGGTGACCGCCGCCACCGGAGCTCTGGTGACCGGTCGGCTAGTAGGAGCTGTAATACTATAAAAACAATATTTAAATGGAAGGGCAATTTGGTCTTTTCATTTGATATAATAATGCCAATTTGGTCTCTTGAGACCAAAATAGCATTTTGCAAATTGGACGGACGTTCTGGTCATTATGAAATTCAGTTAGCATTTTTCTGTCTTTTTCCCTTTTTTTTAATATTTTATGAAAGAATTAAAATAATTTTGTAATCACAAGTCATAAGCTAAAAAATCTTTAGAGAATACTCAAAGTGATATATTAAATAACAAAGAAAAACAAATTATTCATATAATTGCTTAACTTTTATGACAATGACTGATAATTCATATGTATTCTTATACTTGATATATATATATATATATATATATTTCTTGCTATATTAGGAGAACTTAGACATTAAACTTTAGAAGTTTTAACCTTACACAATCTGACATCTGCAATGTGAAGTATTATCGTTTTTTTTAATTAATAAAGAGATAATTTTAAATTATTTATCAATAACATATTTTCATAAATTGATAAAAGGGAAAAAGATAGAAAAATGCTAACTGAATTTCAGAATGACCAAAACGTCCATCTCAAGAGACCAAATTGGCATTATTATATCAAATGAAAAGACCAAATTGCCCTTCCTTTTAAATATTGTTTTTAAAGTATCACAGCTCCTACTGGCCGGCCGGTCACCGGAGCTCCGTCGTTCGGAAAATTTTTTTTTTGAAAATTTTTACAACTTCAGTATAACGGTTAACAACTTTTGTAATGCTATTAACAACTTCAGTATAGCAATTAACAATAGGTTTTTTGGGAAATTCAACAAGCTCCAGTGACCGAAAACAATTTTTTTGAAAAATTTTACAACTTCAATATAACAGTTTACAACTTTTATAATGCTATTAAACACTTCAGTATAGTAATTAACAACATGTTTTCTAGAAAATTCAACAAGCTCCGGTGACCGGAAACAATTTTTTTGAAAATTTTTACAATTTCAGTATAACGGTTAATAACTTTTGTAACTCTATTAACAACTTCAATATAGCGGTTAACAACAAGTTTTTGGAAAAATTCAAAAAGTGACATTTTTATAACTTCAGTAATGCATTTAACAAACTCAAAAACCTGTTGTTAACCGCTATATCGAAGTTGTTAATAGAGTTACAAAAGTTGTTAACCGTTATACTGAAGTTGTAAAAATTTTCAAAAAAATTGTTTCATGTCACCGGAGCTTGTTGAATTTTCCAGAAAACATGTTGTTAATTGCTATACTGAAATTGTTAATAGCATTACAAAAGTTGTTAACCGTTATACTGAAGTTGTAAAAATTTTCAAAAAAATTGTTTCCGGTCACTGGAGCTTGTTGAATTTTTCAAAAAACCTGTTGTTAATTGCCATATTGAAGTTGTTAATAGCATTATAAAAGTTTTTAACCGTTATACTGAAGTTGTAAAAATTTTGAACTTCAGTATAACTTTAACAATTACGCTTTTTTGAAAATTTTTACAACTTCTGTATAACGGTTAACAACTTCGATATAGAAGTTAACAACAAGTTTTTCGAAAAATTCAAAAAGTGGCATTTTTATAACTTCAGTAATGCCATTAACAAACTTAAAAACCTATTGTTAACCGCTATACAAAAGTTGTTAACCGTTATACTGAAGTTGTAAAAATTTTCAAAAAAATTGTTTCCAGTCACTGGAACTTGTTGAATTTTTCAGAAAACCTGTTGTTAATTGCTATAATGAAGGTGTTAATAGCATTATAAAAGTTGTTAACCGTTATACTAAAGTTGTAAAAATTTTCAAAACAGTTGTTTCCGGTCACCAGAGCTTGTTGAATTTTCCAGAAAACCTGTTGTTAATTGCTATACTAAAATTATTAATAGCGTTACAAAAGTTGTTAACCGTTATACTGAAGTTGAAAAAATTTTCAAAAAAATTTTTTTCGACCGACAAAACTTCGGTGACCAATTGTCGGCCGGTCGCCGAAGCTCCGATAACCGGCCGGCCAATAGGAGCTGTGATACTTTAAAAACAATATTTAAAAGGAAGGGCAATTTTTTCTTTTCATTTGATATAATAATGTCAATTTGGTCTCTTGAGACCAAAATAGCATTTTGCAAATTGGACAGACGTTTTGATCATTCTGAAATTCAGTTAGCATTTGTCTGTCTTTTTCCCGACTATTTATGTAATTTAGCCTAAATTATATAATACGATATTGGAGTTCGACATTAGTGACCGCCTGCCTGATGAGCGATCTCAGCTGCAGTACCACAGCAAATGAATGAAAGATAGTATTGTGTTAGTCAACAATCGATGGTCACGAGGATTTCAGGATTTGGTAACGCTATAGCTCCAAAATTTTCACAGTATTCTTCTTCTTTCCGAATTGGTAGTGACGAAGGACATGGAATCTGGTCAATGGCTCCAACCATCAATCGCCCTGTTTCTCTCACTCTTAATCGCAATTCGAGCTTACAGAAGAAAATCTCTCAGCCTTTCTGGAGCGATTTCGGGTTTCGTCATTATGGCGATTCACATTTCCGTTGGATACAGGTAGTTCTTCCCTCCTCTTACTTGTGTTTCCTTCCAATTTTGGGGTTTCATCTTGCGTAGATTTAACGTCTTTCTTCCTTTTCTTGTTCTTTTTTCGGAAAAAGATTTGGGGCTATGCTGCTCGTGTTCTTTTTCACTTCGTCTAAGCTCACAAAGATAGGAGAAGATAAGAAGCGAAAAGTTGATCCTGAATTCAAAGAAGGTGGACAAAGGAATTGGTGTGTTGTTTTCTGTGCTTTCTCTTGGTTCATTGTTAATGTGTAGTTAGGTAGTATAACATATGAAGTACGCATGCGAATATATATAAAAAGGAAGCGACGTCAAATAAATAGATTCAATAATTTGGCTTGAAAATGAAAAATAGAGAGGGAGACATGGAAACAAGAACCGAACAGTTGGTAATCAAAAAAATAAGACAGTGAAAAATACAGACAATTAATCTAACCGAGGACATTGCGAAGTTCTGCTTTCAAGGAGGGAACCGAATGAAATTCTGTGTGTTGGACGCCAAGTTGGAGCAATATGGTTAATGAATGAGTGTACAAAGTTTTCTCTTTTATGACATCTTTGAGACGGCACACCAAAATCCACATGCAGGAGGAAATGTTGACCAATCAGAAAAAACATTTCCGTTCCTCACAGTGGCAGACATCATACATATGCCATATCATAATGCATTGGCAAGCAGCAAGGCAGATCTAGAGAGAGGTCTCCCTGTCATGGAGGGTTTATAGAAGATGGGCTTCGGGCCATATCTTTATACCATGGCAATCATGACACCTGTCTTTTACGACACCAATGAAATAGTTCATAGGCTTTTAGGAGTTCAATTTATATATGTTCATAGGATACGAGTAGATATAATTTTGACATTTATATCCGAATTCTTTTTTTAAGTTTTGGCTTGAATTTGAACTTGATGTATTTTAAGTGAACAAGTTTGAGCATACTAAGGTTGGATAGGTAAGCTTTATTACAGAAAATCTGTTTTGGGCCTCGTGGTTTTGCAAGGAATATCTCTTTAACCACTTTTCTTGACTTTTTAAATTGACAGTATTTGAAATTAAATAAAAAAATTCATTCTATTTATTGTGGTCAATTCATTTTTCTCAACAGTCAAAATATGAAGATGTCAATTCTCGTTGTTGCTACTATTTATTATCTGATTAAGCCTGCTTGAGAGCCTTGTAGCCTGCAATTAACTCCCTGTACATGTGCTATCAAAATAGAAGGTGAATCATGCAACTTCCTGGCAATTTTCTGCTGCTTCTGTTTTTCAGGATACAAGTTCTATCCAATAGTGGCGTTGCCACAGTTTTGGTCATAATTGTATGGAAATTGACAGAAGGACAGGATAAATGCTTAAATTCTAAAGACTCAGCTCTGATCACCTCTCTTATTGGTGGCATCATTGGCCATTATTCCTGCTGCAACGGAGACACTTGGTCTTCCGAGCTTGGAATTCTAAGTGAAGATCAACCTCGTCTAATCACAACCTTTAAGGTGAATAATCTCTTGGATGCAACTGTGCATGCATGGATTTCTCCAGATACTTTTATTTGTCTTGTTTAATTTTAATACAAATGCGTGATTGTTAGCCTGTTCGGAGAGGTACAAATGGTGGTGTGACAAAAGCGGGACTTCTAGCAGCTGCAGCTGCAGGAAGCGTCATTGGACTGTCGTTTGTTCTTCTGGGACTTCTAACAACCAGATGTGATTCTGATGTGGCCCTTAAGCAACTACTGGTTATACCTATCTCCACCCTAGCAGGACTAGGTGGAAGTGTGATTGACTCTCTGTTGGGGGCAACACTGCAATTCAGTGGATTCTGCACTGTTCGCAATAAGGTAAAATTAGTTCTGTCCCAATAAAGTTAGAATAGGGAATTTGTGCTATCTTTGGCCAGATATTATAGATTTGTTATGTGAAAATTTTTCTACATCATTCGCAGATTGTTGGAAAGCCAGGACCAACTGTTAAAAAGATCTCTGGTCTCAGTATTCTTGACAACAATGCGGTGAACTTTGTCTCCATACTGTTGACCTCAATTTTAACTGCGATTATTTGTTTGCATACCTTCTAAACTCATTAGGACGTGCGAATCGGCTTTGATGGGCACCGAAGGGAGTTCAGAGTCTGAAATTCTTATTTGCTTAGTGTAATTGTGCTAGTAGTCAATCACATCTAAGTTGTCTAACAAATCCCAAATGCATGTGCTTCCCCGCTTTAATTTTTTGTTAGCCCTCTTTTAAGTTTCAACCTAAGATTGATGGAAAGCAGAAACCTTCCACTTTAAAGGTTTTTTAGATGTAAAATTGTAGGCAAATATTTATCTCATCCTGATGAGTTTGGCTGCTAAGATTGAATTACTCATTACGCTCTCCCCGGTTTCTCTTGAATCAAATAATGTAATATCCTTATAAATCTTTACTATTTATCCCCATTTGTTTACGTTACGTCATGGTAGGAAAGAGAGTAAGATGTGTGAACCTAAGTAGTTTGACATTAACTGCTTGGGGTTTTTAATGTGCACAATTGCATGTGAAATTAAACTGGAAATACCAGCAGTACATGATTTTTGTGCTTTGATACTCAACCACCCCCGGGGGCCAAAAAAAAAACAAAAGGAAAACGGGAATAAACGGAAAGTAGATCATACTTACCTTACTTTTTTTGGGCCAAAGAGATCATACTTATCTTGAATGCTCACTTTAGTAAATTTCTGTATCCATGTAATTTTTCATGAAAAAAGTTATACTCTTCCGGTACTTAATATAAAATTTAATTATTAAGTTAATTTTGATTCTAATTATAAGACTTATTTCTTATATTTATTAATTTTTTTTAAAATTATCCTTATAGATACTCTCTTAACCATAATCAAGTAAGTGAGAGAGGAAAGATATTAAAAAAGAATATTATAGTGTTTTAGAAAAAACATGTCATATTTCTTATAATTAATTAACTTATTTAACTTCTTTAATCTAATTAAATTAGTTAAATAGGTCTTATATTAAAGACTAAAGAAGTATATACATAGTAATTTTTCATCCTAAATTGATGTTTCAATAGTTATGTCTTTTGATGCGCTCATTGGCTGCCGGTCAATGCGTGTTTGGGTAGGATGGATAAGTTTGTGGTTTTGAAACGAATTTATGCTTGGTCCATTGTCGTCGCTTTCCTTCTGGTTACCGTGGTGCGAGTTATTCGATCAATTAACAATGAGAGAATGAAACAAAAAAAAGCATGAAAATATGAGATCCCAATTTGAAAAGCTGACACTTTATAATGTTATCAAAATCGGTAAAATGGATTGAACATTTGTTATTACCAACTGAAATTTAAGAATTGGGCATTTTTTCAAGATATAATCTCTATTTTTTTTCAACTATTTTGGTTGAAATTGTGAGTTGTTAATTTTTATTCCAAAATTGTTAATACCTATTAAAGTATAATTAATACCAATACAAAAATTGTAGATGATTTGAAAGAGAGGTTTTGTGTGACAACTGTTCTTTTAAAAATCCATTTAAATTAAATCAAATAATTTATTCGAAAGATTAACTATGATAGAAAAGAAAAAAAATCTTAGAATTATAAAAATACTATCATGGTTAAAAGGAATAAACTTATATTGTACAATATCAATTATCAACTTGAGCTTTGAATTTCCAAAGTCCAAAATTACCATTCAACCATTAGTTCAAACAAAACTCATACTTTCAAATATACGAAATGATAAATCATTTTAAAACAAGTTATGGAGTCTATTAATCAAAGTCAATGCTTTCAAATGAGTGTAACATTCAAAGTCTTATAGGCCTCTGACCTTCTAATGACCCTCCCATCAAATAGCAGTAATCAAAATTATTAGTTTTCAACATCAGAGTAGATGAGCCCTATGTGGCAATATATAATAAATCAGCATATAAAACAAAAGAAGGGAGATTATACAAGTTATAACAGCACACTGAGCCTCTGGGACCTTTCTTAATGAACCACCACTTGAACTATCACCTGTAAATAGTAAAAACCATGGAGTGAGATAAAAGCCTCAGTAACCAACTTTTCAACTCATCATATGTACAAGTGCTCGTGAGGTGTTAAGTGGGACAATTATTAATTCTCAAGAAATATAGCTATATCAATAGAAATATAAAACACGGATATTAAGATAATTTCAATCATCCAAACCCTCATTATGGGGTTAACACACAAGTCATATAAGTTTATCCCTCTTTGGGGGATTAATTAGACATATAGACCTATCTCTTATTTTTGGGGGATGAGTAAAAAGCCACAAGGGCATATCCCTTACTATGGGAGATGAAGGAAGCTAACCACTGTACACCAATGACAGCCTTACCAAGTGATAGAACAGAACTTAACTCAAAATCCAAATAACAATCAATCATTTACAACATGACAAAAATATCTCAATCTTTTTTCAATATAATTCATAAGATAGAAATAATATATTTTTCCAAACGGCTCAATCACAATTCCAAAAATCCCATAAGATAATTTTCATAGCTTAAAAAGGTATATTATATCTCCTTGAGTTTCAAATAGCACACCATTATTTGAAAATATCAAAATACTCACAAACACCATAGTAACACATAACAAGTAGAAAGTAGTTACCCATCATCAAAGCAATAACAAGGATTACCACAAGGTTAAGCCTGTGCATAACCAATAATTAATCTACATAATTAATATAACCACATATTAATATAAGTTAATTAATTAATTAAGCTTATATATATTAGTTAAATCTCTAATTTAATTTAATTGTATAAAATTCTTAATTTATAAATTAAGCCTCAAACTTCAAAAATTCTCTAATAATATATTTTCAGCATTTTCAACATTTTAAACAGATTAAAATCTCAATAATATGTCAAATAACCCAAATAAATTATTTAACTTAATTTTAATTAGTAAAAATATGAGATATATACTATATATAACAAATTTTTTAACTAAAATTAATTTAAATATTAAAAACTGACAAATGGGTAAATCTAAATTTATTAAAATTAATTACTCATTTACCTCTAAATTTTTTTGGTCATCTATTATCAAAACTCAATACTTACTTCATATCTAAATCTCAAAATTTTCTCTAATTAATCACTATAATAATACTGTAATTAGGAAGCTTAAAATATATAGGAAATATTCATGAGAAAGTTTGATAAAAAGAAGTAATTTTATGTACCTAAATTATCTTCAAAACTTATCCTCTCCTTCACAATAACGGCCGATTTGTTCCTTGCTCTCTCTCCCGCACTCTTTCTCTCTTTCTCTCTTGGGCCTGACGGGAAAACCAAATTATCACACATTTATTAGTTGGAGCTTCCACCTAATAAATTCAAACAATCACACACAAAAATAAAAAAACGGAAGCAACTCCAAGTGCTTACTAAGAAAACAAGTAAGAATACTCATAACGCATAAGCTCCTCGGTCTCCCAAGTAGCATCATTAGGACTTATGCCCTTTCAAAAGACCTTAACAAGGTGGATAGTCTTGTTCCTCAATTGTTTGTCCTTAACGTCCAAAATTTGGTCTGGTTCTGCTGGATATGTTAAATTCTCTCACAACTCGACCTTTTCAGGCTCAACGACATGAGACGGATGCGAATGATACTTCTTCAATTACGACACATGGAATGCATCGTGTAAACTAGAAAGATGTGGCTATAGCGCAATCCGATATACAACATGTAGCGTCCCTAGATCCCAGAGTGTAGTCATAGCCATCCTAGAGTGTCGCTTGTAGATATTGTCCGCTTTGGTACAGTTGTAGCCAACTCACAGTTTTGTTTCCCTGGGTGCATCCGTAACCACCCAAAAAATGTGTCTACGAGGGAGAGGTATCCATACCCTTATAAGGCATGTTTCGTTCCCCTCTCCAGCTGATGTGGGACTACACACAACAGGTCTAATTCGCTCCCTAATCTCATAGCGGCCCATGAATTAGGGTGTAAGTTTCTTGGCCTTAATGAATCTGCGAACACCTATGATAGGTAAAACCTTCAGAAATACATGATCACCTACTTCAAACTCTAAAGGTCCCCTCTAACAATCCGCATAACTCTTCTGTCGACTTTGGGCTGTCAACAACTTCTGCTTAATGAGCTCAATCTTTCTAATTGTAATGTCCACTAAAGTCGGGCCAATAACTGTTCTTTCACTTAATTAAATCCAACAAAGTGGAGATCTACACTTCCTCCTGTGTGGCACCTCGCACGATGCCATCTGCATGCTTGCATAGTAGCTATTGTTGTAGGCAAATTCTACTAACAATAGGTGATTGTCCCAACTACCCTTCAACTCAATAGCACAAGCTCTTAACATGTCTTCAAGAGTTTAAATTGTTCTCTCATTTTGTCCATCAGTCTGAGGTGGTAGGCAATATTGTGCTCTAACTTAGTGCCCATGGCTCCATGTAAAGACCTCCAAAAGTTCGATGTAAATCTTAGATCTTGGTCAAATATGATGGATTCCGACATTCCATGAAGTTGAACTATTTTATCAATGTACAATTATGTCAACCACTCTAAGGACTAAGCGGCTCTGAGGGTAAGAAGTGTGCTGACTTAGTTAATCTGTCAACAATCACCCATATTGTGTCATATCCAGCTGGTATCCTTGGCAAACTAGTAATGAAATCCATAAAAATGCGATCCTACTATCTTTAAGGAATATCTAAATTTTAGAGTAATCTTAGAGATTTTTGGTGCTTTATCTTGATTTTCTAGCAAGTCAAATACTTAATCGCGAATTCTATCATATTTCTTTTCATCTTCATCCATAAATAGTTTCTTTCCAAATCATTATACATCTTTGTTATTCTTGGATGTATTGAATAGTTACTCTAATAAGCCTTTTTTAAAAATGATTTTCTTAATCTCATCATCATTAGAGATGGAATTCTCTTTTTTTGTACTTTAAGATTCCTTCTTCTCTAATGTCATAGTCTGGCACATCCTTATTGTCTTAAACACTCAATAATTGGTTATCTTCTATTTGTGCTGCCTCCAAATCCTTAAAGAATTCATAGTCACCCAAAAGCGACTACAAAGTATCTGATGTCTTAGGTACCATTGACTGATTTCTTAATCTCCAAAAATAGTAGTGCTCCTTCAAGCTCATATAGAACACATGAACTATCTTCCTACTCATTAGCGACCACATTAGCTTTACTTGGGTGATATTTAAGTTCAAAGTCATAGTTTTTAAGGAATTCCATCTATCTATGTTGTCGTTGTCCAACTTTTCTGGTCTACTTGATACTTTAGACTTTTATTATCACTATAGATCTTAACTTCGATACCATAAGGATAATATCTCTAAATCTTTGAGAAAAACACCATTATGAAAGCCTGAGCCCTCAGATCTCACAATCCACAACAACTCTAAATATTTAATTGTCAAAACAATT